TCTCCTTTCTCTCTCTCTCCGATGCGGACAGTCCGTCGTCACGCACCAACCCACGAAGTTGTCACCCCGCTTAGTCCTTCCACACCCGTCGGATTCGCCCGTGCCCACAGTCCGTCGTGGCCCACGTCGATCCCGCGCGTTCGGCACCAGCCCGTCGGGTCGCCGAATTCCAACTCTACTCACCTCTTACTTCGCTCGTGTGCCGACCCTTCCTGATCGCGCAACCCCGAGCTTCCAACAACGGGTTAAGAGAGCTGACTAATCGCGCAGCCGAAATTTATAGCGTGCATGCATGCGCGAAGAACACGGAATCACCAGGACTTAGAGTGAGGATTAGAGAGAGAACGCCTGCGTTCTGCATGATCGGCCGCGGCGTGGGGAACGTAACCCTTCTCCACGCATCGATCCGAGCATGCAAGCCACGACTTACAAGATTTCAGCAAAAGAAAGAAAGGGAGGGGCGGGAGAGACGAAGTGCAAGAAGAGAGATACAGTTGCAATGGCGCCCGCCCGAAATTACAATTTCACATATGATTAAAGGCGCCCATTGATCAGGGTACTGTTACAGCCGCATGAAGAAGCGCGTAGACAAAAGGTGCAGTGCGGCGATAAAAATCCTAATTACTAAATTCGTAATTCGTATCTAATGCGGAAAAGCAAAAAGCGCGAATTTCCAGAAAGAAGGTCCGAAATTCCGAGAGCCATCGGGGCTCGACAAAATTTGAAAAAAAAAGATTCAAAAGAGAATTCAAAAAGAACAAAGCATTTTTCCGCGCGATGCCCGCGCCCAAAAGATCAAAACCGAAACGAAAGAAACGTCGTCATCATTTATTAATCGCGCACGCAGTGGCGAGCCAAACATCCATCCGACCAATCACTCAACCGGCCTCCCATGATACACTCAGCCCCGAAGAAGCGACGAAAAAGACGAAGAAGCAAGGGTACTGATGCAACTTTCCACTAATCCCGTTTTTCCGTAAGTGGCCCAATGTTCCCAGCTTAGGATCCCTCGTTGCAACCGCGCAGGAAGTCGCGCGTTGCCGAAAGTGGTTACCTCGGCCCTGGGAGAGCCGATAGCGGGTGGGTACCGTAGCGCTCCGTTACCAGCGTCGCTCCGTGATTTTTGCGAGCGCTGTAGGTTAAGCGTCGATGTTCCCAGGTATCTTCCTGTTGTGGGATGGAGAATAGCAAGGATTAAGGCACACTAAGTATCCCGGAGCGTGGTACACGAATACCCTGTGGCCTGCAGTAATTAAGTCGGCTTTCTTTCTTACCGAAGTAAAACACTGTACTTGACACATTTAGGGTTGGACCCCACTATTCAGTTAACTTTGGTCTGGGTCTAGGAATAAAATGATTACTATCCTTTTGGTTCTCTTGCATTTTTTACTTTTCGGGGGGTTGGCCCCTGCAGGTTCAGTTATGTAAGCAAAACTGGGTAACGCTCCCAGGTGGTT